AGTTATTGGGGACTTTAAGTAAACCTCGTCGGCGACGGCAACGAGAACGTGGAAAAACAATAGATCTAATTGGCAGAACAATAGCCCAGCACGTGCGTTTTAAAACTTGGTACATTTCTTAGCCGTCCTTTGCAAAACAACAACGCGAAATCCCCAAAATTGCGTCGTCTGCGAAGCGAAACCGCGGCGGCAAATTATTTTAATTTTAATTTGGAACTCAACGCTACTTTTATGCGTTACGTTGAGTTTGAAGTCTGGCGCCTTATGAGACGGTAAACACATGCAGCCATTTTCGAAATTCTAACTAAAAGAAGAAACTCCTTTTTTTAATCGACGCCTTCCGTGCCGTTGCCGTCCTGGCTGCTTAAAGTCCCTATTATGTTTTGTATCAAGGCCGGTACTTGCTTATTGAAAGGAAACTTCGTTTTTAACCTTACGTACGACAAATGTAGATTTGATGGCGACTTCTTTGTTCGCCAGTAATTTGGATGCCAGCGTGGAGAGGGGTGCAAGGACTGTTTTTTTTTTCCTGACAAAATGGTGCCATTTCTCTATTCTTTGGGCCTGTTTTTTTCTTTTTCTTTCCCCAGGGACTCCTCTCTAATTTAGATTTCTTTTTTTTTTTAATCCATGAGAAAAGATTTTCCACTAGCAGGGAACTTTCGCGTGTGAATTTTGTCAAGTGCGCGATTAAACAAAATATGCAAATAACATGAAATTGCCGCGAATATTCCCCCAGGGGGTTCGCCATTTACGAGAATATGACACCCTCCTGATTTATTAACTTTTCTTTAAAAATACGTTTTCCTAAATAAGTCGATCACTTTCTGAGATTTCAAAATTTTTCTTTTTGTAAACGTTAAGAAAAAAAATTAACTTTAATAGCTAACACAATTACTGGTAACCCAGTAGTTTACATTGTGGGCTATAAACAAATAATTCAAATTGAACATAACAATGTTAAGAATCCCAATTGGCCGGAGACAAACCAGTTGGCTATTTACAAGCATGGCCGAGGATTTGAACTCGGAGCCACCGTGAAACAAATTCAGGTAGTGGTCAGGGTGCGACTCGAACCCGGGAGCGACGGATTGCGAGTCCGACACGCTGACCACTCGGCCACGCTACCTCCAAGTAAAATGTCTAACTTCACTCTAGTCCAATAAAAGAAAAAACGGCCTCTGAAGGTTTAACTGAGCAATAGAACACATTTTCCGGGCTCCATAACACGTGATAAAGCCCCTTGGGATGTTGTGAGAACACAATACAATACAACATACAATAATTGTTTTATTAAAAACGTTAAATTAAATTATTAAATTTTATTAAATTTTTAGCTCTCTTTTAATTTTAAGCTGACACGTACGCTTACCATATTTGTAGATTATGTTATATAGGCTGATATACCATAATGGCTAAGCCAATAAAAAGTCTTGAATTGCATTATCCAATGACCTAGTTTTTAATAAATAACTTTATTTAAACTTGAATTAAAGATAGCAAATACTTACTAATATCTCCAAGTAAAGATATTGAAATTACTATAATACAATAAAAGAAAATCAAATAATATATATAGATATATGTATGTATAAATAAATTTGAATAAGACTAATAAGTTAAGAATTTAAATATTATTTATTGCAAAAGGTACAACAGTCAATGTCAAATTTCATTTTGGAAATTCCCAATTTAAATTTACTTAATTCAGGAATCGATCTCCTGTAGTTAGGGAGAGAATTCCATTACTTACTGCACCGACAAACAAGAGAGTGAAGACCGTAACCAGTGGTGTTTACTCTAAGTACAGTGAGAATATTGTCGCCCAGCAAATTAATGCTAACTTAGAGATATATTCAGGAATAAGTCCAGCTGGTTACTTTTACCCAAGCTGTTTATTTCCCGTGGGACGCCTTGACAGGCGGTTTTATACTTTGACCCTCACTGTCTCCCTAATCAAGCATCAAGGTCAAGGGAAAAAAGGAAATGATTGTCATCTAAAGAAGCGCTTGATCGTTAAACAAATAATACTTGTCAGCTCCTGAGAGAATGTGTAGAGAACAGTGTGGAGAATATGCACACTGATGTAACGGTGAAAGGATCTAGCGACAGAAGGAGTCTAACCACACGAGTAGCTCTTATTCCATATCCGCGTGCGCGGTTTAGTTGGACAGCGGTTTCTCATATTAACATTCACGAAAGAGAGGCTCTCTGGTGAAGCATTAAGGATGGGCCAATACGTCTTTTTCGAATCGATACGATACCGAGTACGATACTGACTTTTTTCTTCGATATAGATATCGATACCGATACTGTGACTTCATTGAAATACATAGTAAGTCACGTGATCTGATTGACTAAATGAAGGCACTCTCGCACGGTTTGCTGTTAAGTTCTATATAGTAGCATCAACAAGACAGTCAAACAAGTAAAAAATTTCAATTTATTGGGACTCATTTTTGATTTTCTCGAGGAAATGAAGAACACCGCAGTGGTACAATCTTTCTACTTACTATATTAAGCAATCTGCAACTTTCACTAGCATTTAGGTATGATCATGAAGCGTACGATGACGGGTTATCAGTCACTGCACGCGTCACTGATAATAACTGAAAATGGGTGCCCGACTCATTATGGATCCTACGCTTCAATACTCGATACATCAGAGACTCCCTGGTATACAGGACCACTCGCAGAGGTACCATACTTTGGAACTATTAAATGCTTTTCTTGCTCGAGGTTTTTCTTTAGTAAGCAGTCATGGTAGTTTGCTATTGCAACTCATTTTTGTTACTCCAGATCTGTCCTTGTAATGCGTAGATTGTTGTGAGCTGCGATTTTGTTGCCATTGCACTGAGTGACGTTACATTTACAGAATCGGGTGCGGCAATCCTACATAATCATTGCACACAAATGCGCACGTGCACGATCTCGAGCCCTACGGCTACTTATCAGCGCTTCGTCGGGGGAGATTAAAGCGTGGTAGGTCACGTGCAGTATCGAAAGCGGTATCGCTAATTTACGATCCAACCTCGGTGTCGCTGGTATCGAATATTTGGTATCGGTAGCGGCCAATCCTTATCAAGCACCTCTGAAGACTACTAGAATAAGCATATAAAAAGTTTAGGTAAAACATCATGATTAGACGCTGTATAGCCTTTGGTTGTACGAGCTGAAGTTTCCGCTATCAAACAAAGATCATCTCCAGAAGTGCACACCTCCTCGATTTACTGGTTTCCCGCCAGCGACTTGCTGCGTGTCGGCAGACATTTCCACTTATTTAATATTCACAAATTTCAAAGACCTTTTGTCTGCGAATTCCCGCGGGTAGCTTTTCGAACTGAAAGCCTCGGACTCAACTGAGATATCCACTGTGCAAACGTGTACGCGTGTCAGGAAACTAATCAGTTGGAATTTTTTTGGATCCATTTGCAGATCGATGCAATGTCGCTTTTAGCCGATCACAAGTTGCTTTTGGGAGCTGTGGGGATAGCAGTGACATCTGCAGTGGCAGGTTTTAGTATTAGTCGGATATTTCAACGTCGAAATTTAAGCCTCTATAAAATCAGCGAGGAGGACAATCCAGTCGCTAAATATGTAACCGAATATGGTATCCGCGAACCATCGGCGCTCGCCAGCCTGAGAAAGGTTAGAATCTTTCGTATAACGTAGTTTGATAATTCCTTTGATTTTCTAGTATTCACACCAGTAAATCTTGTGGTTTCATCGTTTTGACCATTGCATAATACATGCTTTCCTGTGGCGCACATAGGCGTTCTCAGCCACACATGGTCTTGTTTTTTCTCTTGCATTGATTGATGTGATGAGTCAGTACTTTGACATGACAAGAGAGCAATTTTGGTTATTATCAGGGGACTGATTGACTAAGGAGGAAAAGTCGAAATTGATACACTTAAATGGGATTAATGCCTGATCGAAGGTTTCCTAAATTTGTAATTCTTATATTTTATTAGACATTTTAGTGGGTAGTGTCGCTGAGTACGTTTACGAGTTGCGCCGCATGTTGACGAGCTCGCAGGCCGAGTCAAAATTCTAACAACGAGTAAAAATACTCAGCGATACGTCTAACGAGTTATTTATTATCCAACTGCGTTATTCTATGCGCATTTATTATGTTACGTGCACGAATGACCAACAAATGTCCGCTAACAAAGCATATATGAAAATAGACTCCCGAGTACGACATATGGCACGCAACAAAAATGTAACAACAAGCAGT